GAGAGTCGAGCAAGCTCTCGCGGGCTCTCAGGTTAGGTCAATCACGCGAGGGGCCGGCCACCCAGGCTTGTAGCTCCTCAGATCACATGCCTGAGGGTGGGTGCAGCGTGCAGCAGAAGGTGTGCTCGCAGTCAGGGTATCGGCCTAGGTGGGCTGCCGCGGATTTAATGGCAGGACTGAAAGGCAAGATTGAACGGCAGGATTGAAAGGCAAAATTGAACGGCAAGATTGAAAGGCAAGATTGAACGGCAGGATTGAAAGGCAGGATTGAACGGCAGGACTAAAAGGCAGGATTGAACGGCAGGATTGAATGGCAAGATTGAACGGTAGGATTGAAAGGCAGGATTGAACGGCAGGACTGAAAGGCAGGATTGAACGGCAGGATTGAAAGGCAAGATTGAACGGCAGGATTGAACGGCAGGATTGAACGGCAGGAACGATTATTGGCACGTCCAGTCCTCGTGACCTCACTCTGCCATGCTCCTCATTCTGCCTCTCGGCGTGCACCACCGCCCTGATCCTCTTCCTCCTCACCTTCCTCCTCCTCTTCCTCCTCTTCCTCCTCTTCCTCCTCTCCCTCCTCCTCTTCCTCTTGCTCACCACTTTCCACCTCCCTCCGTTCCCTCCTCTCCACCACATCCAACCCTTCTTCATCCACCAGATCCCGCAGCACCAGATCCACATCTGCTTTCCGGCAGCACCCGGCAATCCACACCCGTGCCACTGACCCATTGCACGGCACGCACAGCTGAGGGGCAGAGTGTACACGCCCCTGCAGCTATCCAGATCAAGCTCGACAAGCCGAGGGGTGGAACCGATGGCCTCAGGCAGGCACGTGAGGCCTGAGCAGCAGCGGATGAAGAGCCGCTGCAGGGACGGGCAACGCGTGAGGCTTGCGGGCAGCTGCGAAATTTTTGAGCAGTATATGATGATGATCTTCCGGAGATTCTGAAAGGAGCTGAAGTTTTTGGGCAGAGAGGAGAGAGAGCCGCAGCTGCTGATTTCAAGAGTGTGCAGAGATGGAAGCAGTGGGAAGGAATCGGGCAACAATTGAAGTGAGGCACAACCGTGTAGCCTCAGTGACTGAAGCTTCTGCAAGTGGCTGATGGAGTCGGGCAGACTCTGCAAATTTCTCAAATTGCCCAGGAATAGCTCTTGAGGGTTGAAAGCTGCTTGATATTCTTGGGCAGGGAACGAATCTGGCTGCAGCCGGTGATTCGCAGACACTCGAGGAGGGAAAGCTGGGGCAGAGTGGCGGGCAGGCGAATGAGCTCACTGCAATCATTGACCATCAGCCTTCTCAGATTGGTCAAATTTCCCAAGACTTCGGGCAGCTGGAAAAAACATCCGCTGAGGTACAACAGCTGGAGGGAGGATAACTGGGTGAAGGATGCGGGTAGGGCGTCAAGAGCATGGCAGGAACAAACTTCTAGTGAGCGTAGGCTGCGCAGCTGCCCTAAATTATTGGGCAGTGTGGAAAGGTTTGGCAGGGTAAGGCCTAGGGTGTCTAAGGCAGAGCACCGGCAGATTGAATCGGGCACAGATATTAGTTAGTTTCAACAGCTGCCCGAGTGTATTGGGCAAGGCAGATAAAGTGGTGCACTCCATCAGCTCCAGATCCCTTCATTTTCTAAAGCTGCCCAAACTTTCGGGCAGCGATTCTAGACTACTTGTTTCCAAACTAAGGGATTTTAGAGAGTCAAGCGCGCCAATTTCATCAGGTAAGAAAAACCAGCTGAGTCAAATTCGCGATGCTTCCTGGAAGTGCGTTGACCGCTTCTAGACAGGTAAGATCGAGTTTCTTCAAGCTCGTGCATCGCGAAAAGAGCGTATCAAGGCATTGGGTCGTGTACGAGCCGTACGGCGACATGCTCGGATCCGAAAGCGCGGGAGGGACGCCGGATTCCGTTAGAACCGCGTCTGTGAGGGACGCCGGAGCGCGCACGGCGACGAGCAGCGAGGTGAGATCTACCATGCGAGACACGGACCGCGCGAGCTCCGACACGGGTATGGCGCGGATAGGCATCGCGTGGATGGACATCACGGCGAGATACGCGAGGCGCAGCCAGCGCGATGACACAAGCGCGATGGAGACGGGGAAATGCAGGAGGAGGACGAGGGGAAAGGGGAGGCGGACGAGGCGGCAGAGGAGCCCACGGGGGAGTGCATGACGTGGCGGAATATCAGGACGAGAAGGTCGTCTAGGATACAGTCGAGCGGGTTACTCGAAATACTCGCCGTCGCAATGGACATATGGACCGAAATATCCCAACGGAAATGGGTCGTCAAGCCTGACGACCCTCTGACGACTTGACGGCATGCTGCCTCGGGCAGAAAAAAACTAAAACCCTATCGGATGGCATGCCATCTGAGGGAGGCATCAACTCTAAATCCATGCTTCCCTGTGTTTAGGGTTGATGCCTCCCTGACCGGATGCATGTCCGAATGGGTTTTATTTTTTTTGCTCGCGGGCACCGAGCTCCTCCGGCCGGACTCGCTTGTCCACTGAGATATATCATCCGGATCGTCTGGGGGATTGGAAGCCATGGTGGGTTAGATGGAGGTTAAGGTTATATATTGATCGTAATCAATGTACAAAGATTCAACCATAGAGCTGTCTAGAAACATGGTCGAGCCTGAAAAGGAGCACGTGGAACACACGTTATTCCTTGTCCTAACGGACAACCACCAACGGCCTGGGGAGACGCTCTATGCGATGGCTGGCTACGGTGGTCGGAACGGGTTGTTGGAGGGTTGCTACTAGAAAGACGGTGAGGGATCTAAAAAGTTGCTACAAAGATTGGAGGCGAGAGATGAGCAAATGGCGTGATTCAAATGTGGCGCGGCAGCGGGCAAGGCGGGACAGCAGGGATGAGCTTATAACGGGAATATGTGAATGTCCATACAGGTGCTTCGGTAAGAGCCTGCACTATAAACATCCTTGTCAAAAACGAGGAGTTTATTGCTATTATTCGTATCCTATTCATGCCCTCATTAGGTGGCCCCGAATGTACAGTAACGAGCCTCATCCATGCTGTTTGTACGCCAACATTTACCTAGTGAATCACACATTTCTCTGGTCTAATTGGTGTCGCATCGGCGTCGCATCCAGACCCTCAGATTGGTTTGAGGGTATGCTGATGGATCAGCGTGTCCCGGCCAACGAGGTGTCCAAATCAGCGTTCACGGTTTTTTTTATACTGATTTTGCCAGTGTAAAAATCATAAGTAAACTGAACCAACAGTGTAATAACAAAAAACTATAGCTGAAACCCCAGTACAAGGTGTGTGGTGTTGTTGCTGTGATAGGTTCCAGCGAGGCTAAACACTTCCGCTCGCACCTGATATCTGTGCAGTGCATGCGAAAAAATGCCAAGTGTGTGGGTGGGGTCTCAGGAATCACGGGAAGGTACAGATTGTACACGCGTACCCTATCACCCCCCCCCCCCCCCCCCCCCCCCCCCACACGCGGTCAACTCCGTTTCAGTGTGACTCACGTCACTATACTGATTCGTTAGTGTTACCGTATTCTCCCGGACATAACACCCTAGGGTATAGCTAAAAATACAGGGAAAAAATGGGGGGGGTCTCCTCATAGGAAAAAAATACATAATACCCGGGTCTTAACATATGGCATATTTTAGTGTTAGTGTTTTTTTAATTAGTCAATGTGGGTGTTTTGCTGGTCGTTTTAGCATCACTGCCTGAGGTGCGAATGTCAGTTTCGGCCTCGAACTTCATCGCCCTCACGAAAATGCCATGTGACACCTCTCTTGCCACTTGCAACGGAAGATTCACCTGCACGTGGCAACAGAGAAATAGTGGGAGGGGGCAAATCTCGGCAGATTGCCTTTGAATGTACCGCGAAATTTCATTGAGGGAGAAATTCACACGATATTCTTCCGTATTGCAGCTACTCGTTAACGACTATAATAATGAATCCGTAAGAAAAGGGGGGTGTTATAGAAAATCAGCCAAAAAGGGGGGTATAGTAGAAACGAGGTCTATCATAACACCCACCCCGCACAAGCTACCCGGGGGTGTACAATTATGGGGGGGTGTTTTGTCCGGGAGTATACGGGTACTTGTAAAGAAACACGCAAAATGGTCAGTGTGACAAGGTAGGATATACGGTACTGAAATTTCAGTGCAAAATTGAAGCATATGCTGAATTTTCAGGGAAAACGAAAATCACAGCTACAAAATCAGCGTAATCAGCGTGTTATACGCTGATATCTGAGGGCCTGGTCACATCTCTGTGTGAGCATAATGGAAACCGACGTCTAGCAAATACAAACTCTTATTGAACAACAGGAACACAGGCATTGACCAATAAGGAAGATAGGTGGTGGTCACTGTGGCCACGTAGGAGGGCTGGCTGGCAGGCACCAAAGAACATGATGGCTCAAAGCACTACAGCAGCTCACATATCCAACCAGCCCTACCAGTCCCTTCCTCCATCGCTCCCTCCCCCCTCCCTCCTCCATGCCACAACACAACCCATCCTGATTGAGGCCTGAGCCCTGCTGCTGGCCCTCCTATGGCGAGAACCCAGAGTCACTCCGGTGAGCACTGAGCACCCCACAGGTCTTCTGATGAGTTCAACAGAGGTCTCAATCAACCTCCGTCGCGACTGGACTGCCTTGGCAGCTAGGACAGGCTTTGATCAGAGACCCTAGTGAGCTTTAAGGTCAATCACGTGAGGGGCTGCCCGAAGCTCCTAGCTCCTCTAATCGCATGCCTGGGGGGTTACAGCATGCAGCAGCGGGTTGGCCTTGCAGTCAGGCAGGGTACTGGCCTGGGTGAACAGCAGCATGGCTGAGCGGCACGGCTGAGCAGCACCGGACTGAATGCCGCTTCCCTTGCTGGCTGTTTGGGAGGAACAATGGTGGCGCGGCCAGTCCACATGACCTCCCTCTGCCATGCTCCTCATTCTGCCCCTCCATGTGCACCACCTCCCTGATCCTCTTCACTTTCCTCTTCCTCCTCCTCTTTGTCCTCCTAATCCTCGTCCTCTTCCTCTTCCTCCTCCTCGTCCTCTTCCTCACTACTTTCCACATGCTCCCGTACCTCCCTCCGTGCCCTCCTCTCCACCACCTCCAACCCCTCCTCATCTACCACGTCCTGAAGAATCAAATCCACATCTGCCTTCCGGCAGCACCCAGTAATCCGCACCCGTGCCACCGACCCATTGCGCGGCACGCACAGCTGAGCAAGGGAGAAGGGCAGAGTGCGCACGCCCCTGCAGCTATCCACATCAAGCTCTACAAGCCGAGGGGTAGAACCGATGGCCTCAGGCAGGCACGTGAGGCCTGAGCAGCAGCGGATGAAGAGCCGCTGCAAGGACGGGCAGCGCGTGAGGCTGGCGGGCAGCTGCGAAATTCTCGGGCAGTAGCTGATGCTGAGCTGTTGGAGATGCTGTAAGGAGCTGAAGTTTTCGGGCAGAGAGGAGAGAGAGCCGCAGCTGCTGATTTCAAGAGTGTGCAGAGAGGGAAGCAGTGGGAAGGACTCGGGCAGGGATTGGAGTGAGTCGCAACCATGTAGCCTAAGTGACTGAAGCTTCTGGAGCTCCCCGATGGACTCGGGCAGACTCTGCAGATCACTCAGGTTGCACAGGTATAGCGCTTCAACTGCTGAAAGCTGGCCGATATTCTCAGGCAGGGAACGAATCTGGCTGCAGCCATTGATTCGCAGACACTCGAGGAGGGAAAGCTGGGGCAGAGAGGCGGGCAGACGAGTGAGCTCACTGCAATCACTGACCATCAGCCTTCTCAGATTGGTCAAATTTCCCAAGTCTTCGGGCAGCTGAAAAAAACATTCGCTGAGGTCCAACAGCTGGAGAGAGGATAGCTGGGTGAAGGATGCGGGCAGGGCGTCAAGAGCATGGCAGGAACAAATATTTAAAGATTTGAGGCTGCGGAACTGCCCGAAATTGTCGGGCAGCCTGGAAAGGTTTGGCAGAGCGAGGTCGAGGGTGTTAAGGGCAGAACACCGGCAGAATGAATTGGGCAGAGTGACTAGCTCCTCGCACCCTATGGCACAGAAATGAGATAATTTCAACAGCTGCCCGACTGCATTGGGCAGTGCGGATAAAGCGGTGCACTCCACCAGCTGCAGGTCACGTAGATTGCTGAGGCTGCCCAAACTTATGGGCAGCGATTCGAGATTATCTGTTTCTAAATACAGGGACTCTAGAGCGTGAAGCGCGCCGATTTCGTCAGGTAGCTGCGAGAGGGTGCCTGACGAAATGCTAAGAGAAACCAGCCCAGTTATATTCGCGATGCTTCCTGGAAACGCGGCGACCGTTCGCGGACAGTGAAGATCGAGTTTCTTCAGGCGCGTACAACGCGAGAAGATCGTATGGAGGCCTTGCGTCGTGAACGAGCCGTACGGCGACAGGATCAGATTTGCAAGCGCGGGACACGCGCGCGCGATCGTCGCTAGAAGTGAGTCTGTGAGGGAAGCCGGCGGGTCCACTGCGACGTGAAGCGAGGTGAGATTCGGCATGCGAGCGACGGACCGCGCGAGATCCGAGGCGGGAATCGCGCGGCGCTGCGTTAGGTCGATGGACGGCACGGCGAGATACGCGAGGCGCAGCCAGCGCGACGACACGAGCGCGAGGGAGAACGGGCAGACGGGGGGTGGGGACGAGGAGATGGCGGAGGCGGCGGAGAAGGCGGCGGAGAGGGCGGCGGAAGCGGCGGAGGAGGCGGCGGAGGAAACGGCGGAGGCAGCGGCGGGGGAGGCGACGGGAGAGGCGGCGGATGACGCGGCGGGGGAGGCGGAGGAAGGTGACGATGCGGTGGTAGAAGGGTCCCCGTGCTCGTCGGCAAGAGAGGCGGGTGATACCGCGAGGGCGGGGGCTTGCATGACGTGGCGAAATATCAGGACGAGTAGGTCATCTGGGAAATTTTCGAACGGGTCAGTAGCAGTTTCAATGATCGTCTGGACCGGGTCGTGTGGGTGATTGCAAGCCGCCATCTTTGAGTGCAGGACGGTAGAAGGGTGCTGTTGGAAAGACTCGCACAATCTGGGAAATTCAGTGTTCCTGGAAAATATAAGTTCGAAGGTGAGTGAGAGTGAGACGACGGCTAACGCGGAGGGTGCGTTGCGGTGCGGCGTGAAACAGGTACGTACGCTCGAGGACAACGAGTCGAGGAGGAAGGGAGAGGGGGGCGGAGCGGAAGGAATGTGATATGCGGGGAGGGGGGAGGGAGAAACACGAAGTTCCCCAATCTGAACTGTGCCAGAAGGGCTGTTCCGCGCATTCCTGCTGGAGTCAATTGCCACGATTCAGTCTGGTGCGTTACGGTTCGAAGCGGGCTGTGTGAGCCGTTTGGTGGGTTACCGTTCGAAGCGAGCCGTGTGAACCGTTTGTATACAGTGTGGAACTGTTATGAGTTGTATGAAAGAAGAGTGCGCAGAATATAATATCGCGGAAGTGATTACAACTACTGAGCAAACAACGGGGCCTAGGCATAATATAGCATAGCTAGCTAAGCCGGGATCGCGGAGTCATGCGAGGGTTGGGTGTAGGTTTGGGTTTGGAAAACCCGAAGGCGACGCGGAAGACGTTCGGAAGGCGAGGTCGACGGACCGAGCCTGAATTCCGAAAATTGGGGTTGTACGCGTAAGAGGTGCCTCAGTAAGGAATTGGCGAAAATTCCTTACAGGAACCCTACCCAAACAAACTACACCATCAGTGGGCTGGAAAAGCGTGCAGCTTCGACTGCATTCCCAAGGCCTGGAAAAAGGGAGACCTGACCACTGGCGGGCACTTGCTTGACGAATGTGATTGGCGGAGTAACGACCCCACACATGTTACATTGCACTTCAATCTTAGGGCGTCTCACATTGGTATTGGTCCATCCTTGCAGGGCCTGTGCTAGGATTTTGGACACCCTGAGCCCTCAGGGTAACTTTTGAAAAATCTCTGAAATGCCCTGATTCTTCAGGGCAGAATTTTCTGGCCATCCTGAAATTTCAGGGCACCAGCAGAAATTCATATGGATGATTCAGGGCAAAAAATACGAGGCACTAGAGAGGATGGAGGGGAAGGCACGAAAGGAGCAGGTTGTTCACTGGTTTCACTTCTACTGGCGGAGCAAAAACATTGGTGGGGGAGGGGTGAGGACAAAACTAGCACACACACCCTCCAGCCTCCTTCCTCCCCTCTCTCCCTCTCCCTCTCTCCCCCCTCCACCCTTTCTCCCCTTCCCACGAGTCAGGGATGTCAGAACATATCCATAGCTTATACTGCTGTGTAGGCTGTAGTGGGGTATCCCATAGGGGGTACAACCCAGTTAGGGTTTCATATTTGTACTGCTTTCATTCATAGTCCATTCATCCCTGCTTACTCATTTTCACATGGTATAGAGCTAGGTCCCTCCAGGACCGAAATTTTTGGGCCCACCGAAGCGCGCCCCCGAGGCGCGAATTTTTTTTAGCGACCCCTCGAGTCGCCCTCTCCCCTGCGGCCTCGCCGCCCACTCTGTCGCGGCCCCGCCCTGCTCCTTACGCGGCCCCGCCCCGGCCCTTACGCGGCCCCGCGTCGCCTCCTACGCGGCCCTTACGCGGCCCCGCGCCGGCCCCTTACGCGGCCCTTACGCGGCCACGCCGCCGGCTCCTTACGCGGCCCCGCGCCGGCCCCTTACGCGGCCCTTACGCGGCCCTTACGCGGCCACGCCGCCGGCCCCTACGCGGCCCCGCGCCGGCTCCTTACGCGGCCCAGCCCCGGCCCTTACGTGGCCCCGTCCCCGGCCCCTACGCGGCTCCGCGCCGGCTCCTACGCGGCCCTTACGCGGCCCCGCGCCGGCCCCCCCCCCCTTACGCGACCCTGACGCGGCCACGCCGCCGGCTCCTACGCGGCCCCGCGCCGGCTCTCACGCGGCCCCGCAACTGGCTCCTACTCGGCCCCGCAGCCGGCCTCTTAAGCGGCCCCACCGCCGGCCTCCTACGCGGCCCTGCCCCGGCTCCTATCACGGCCCCGCCCCGGCTCCTTCGCGGCCCTGCCCCGGCTCCTACGCGGCCCTACCGCCGGCCCTGACGCGGCCCCGCCCCGTCTCACTTCTACGCGACTCGAGCCGCCTGTCGCCGAGCCGCCCGGGACCCGAGCCGCCCTGCAGCCGAGCCGCCCGGGAGCCGAGCCGCCCTGCACCCGAGCCGCCCTGCAGCCGAGCCGCCCGGGAGCCGAGCCGCCCTGCACCCGAGCCGCCCTGCCGCCGAGCCGCCCGGGAGCCGAGCTGCTGTACACCTGAGCCGCCCGGTCGCCGTTCTGCTTTTCTGTCGAGCTGCGCGACCTGCCCAGCCTGGTGAGCACAGTCCCACTGTCACTGCGTGCTCTCCCCCCTACTGCTTGCACTGCTTCACAGTCGTCGTCATGGCTACCCCTAGTGTCCTAGCTTTTGACGCTGAGGGTCGCGCCATTGATTTTGAGGTCTGGCTAGACGACCTGCAGCTGTTCTTACAGTGCGACAAGGCTGATGACCTTTCTCTCTTTGACCTCACCTCTGGCGCCTCTCCTGCTCCTACTGCTGATGCTGATCCCGCTGTCCGCTCTAAGTGGGCCACCCGCGATGCTGCTGCACGTCTTGCTGTGCGTCGCCACCTCCCTACCTCTGAGCGTGCGCACTTTAGTCAGTACAAGAGTGCTCAGACCTTGTACGACGCTGTAGTTGCGCGCTACTCCTCCCCTGCCACTGCTGCACTGAGCCGTCTCATGCTTCCCTACCTCTTTCCTAACCTCTCTGCCTTTCCCACAGTTGCTGACCTCATTACGCACCTCCGCACTAGTGACACTCGCTACCGCGCCGCCCTTCCTGCTGAGTTCTGCGCTAGGAACCCCCCCCCCATGTACATCGCTCTCTACTACGTAGTCGCGCGCCTCCCTGACTCCCTTCGCGTCGTCAGGGACCACTTTCTCGCAGTCTGTCCCACCACTCTCACCGTCGACCTCCTCGAGAAGGCCCTCCTTGCAGCGGAGAAGAGCATAGTCGCTGTAGGTGCTTCTCGTGGTGACCCTCGCACCCCCATCTTTGAGGGGTGCTCTTTCCCCCTTGCTGCCCTCTGTTGCCTCTGCTGCAACTGCCGACCTGCTTGGTCTTGAGTCGGTCGGCGCGGCGTCTGCCCCTAGTGGGAGACGTCGCTCCAGCAAGGGCAAGGGAGGCAAGGGCGCGGGTGGAGCTGGGGGGGGCGGTGGCGGTGGCGGCGGTGGCGGCGGAGGGAGTGGGGGTGGCGGCGGGACTAGTGGCGGGGGTGGTGGTGGTGGTGGCGGCAGCAGCGGCGGAGACGGTGGTGGTGGTGCCAGCGGTGGTGGTGGAGGCAGCGGCGGAGGTGGAGGCGGCGGAGGTGGAGGCAGTGGAGGCGGCAGCGGAGGAGGCAGTAGTGGTGGAGGAGGTGGAGCTGGTCGGGGTGGTACCCAGCAGCGTAGCGGCGGTGGTGGTGGCCAGCGCTCGCACCGGCAGCAGCAGCAGCGCTCGCGGGACATCCCTTCGCCTCAGCAGCTTCGTGAGTGGTACGCTGGGCGTCACAGGGGTGGGGGTACTGGTCCCTGCACCTACGTTCTTCGTTCCGGCGACCGCGCGGGTGAGCAGTGTGGGGGTGCCCACGCCACCCAGCGCTGCTTTGGCCCTCTAACGGACGCTTGGCGTCAGCAGTTCCCTGGGGCTAGTGAGATCCCTCGCTGGGATGAGCTTCTCAGGGCTGGTGAAGCGATCTTTGATCTTGATTTTGATGCTATCCTTACTGCTATGTATGTTGTGGATTATAGTGAGGAGAATGAGGGTTACCGGTGTTTCCAGCCCGACCCGGGCATTGGTACTGCTGCGCTAGGTGCTTGTGAGGCTGCTGCTCTAGGTGCCAGTGCGTCTGCGCTCTCAGGTACTGGTGAGACTGCGCTCTCAGGTACTGAGTCGTCCTCGTCCTCCCTCACTTTCACACTTGAATCCGGAGCTTCTCGCTCCTTCTTTCGAGACCGCACTACCCTTTCGCCGCTCGCCAGGCCGGTTGCGGTCTCCCTTGCTGACCCCTCTGGGGGTCCTGTCCTGTCTCACTTCTCCACTGTCCTCCCGTGTCCGGCTGCCCCTTCGGGCACCCTGTCGGGTCTGTACCTTCCCTCGTTCTCTACGAACTTGGTGAGTAGAGCGGACCTGCAGGATGGGGGTGTTCACCAGTTCACTCCTGCACGTCAGCGGGTGACCCACTGCACGGAGGCTCGCACAGGCCGACACCTGGCCACGTTCTCACGTCGGCCGGGGTCGAGTCTCTACACCCTGACCGTTGAGTCTCCTCCTGTCCCTGCGTCTGGTCAGGCTGCTGCGTCCCGGTCAGGTCCTGAGTCTGCCCCCTGTTCTTGTCGCCTCCTGTCTCACGAGACTCTCCTGTGGCACCACCGTCTTGGCCACCCCTCCTTGCCCCGTCTTCGGAGCATGGCTTCCCGTGTCCTTGTCTCTGGTCTTCCCCAGTCTCTCCCTCCTCTCCCCTCCGGGCCAGGACCTTCCTGTGTCCCCTGTGTCGAGGGTCGCCTCCGGGCTACTCCTCACTCCTCCCACTTCCCCCCGACAGAGGCTCCCCTGTAGACGCTTCACATGGATGTGTGGGGCCCAGCCCCCGTCCGTGGGCAGGGTTACGAGCGCTACTTCCTGTTGGTGGTTGACGACTACTCGCGTTACACCACAGTCCTCCCCTTGCGCAGCAAGGGTGCGGTCCCTGAGGTGCTGATCGACTGGATCCGCGAGGCTCGTCTCCAGCTCAGGAAGAGCTTCGGCTCGGACTTTCCTGTTCTGCGTCTGCACTCTGACAGAGGCGGAGAGTTCTCTTCTCGCCTTCTGCGAGACTACTGTCGTGCACGGGGGATCCGCCAGACCTTCACGCTTCCGGACTCACCACAGCAAAATGGGATTGCTGAGCGCCGCATTGGCATGGTCATGGATGTCGCTCGTACGTCCATGATGCATGCGGCTGCCCCCCACTTTCTGTGGCCGTTTGCGGTGAGGTACGCGGCGCATCAGCTCAACCTTCACCCCCGGGTCTCTCGGCCTGCGATGTCCCCAGCCTTGCTGTGGACGGGGAAGGTTGGCGATGCGTCTGTGTTCCGTGTCTGGGGATCTCGGGCGTTTGTCCGCGACTTGTCTGCGGACAAGCTGTCCCCTCGTGCTGCTCCCTGTGTCTTCCTTGGCTTCCCCACTGACGCCCCAGGGTGGCAGTTTTACAACCCCTCCTCTCGTCGTGTTCTGTCCTCCCGGGACGTCACGTTCGACGAGTCAGTCCCCTTCTACCGTCTCTTCCCCTACCGCACTCCTTCCCTCCCCCCTCCCCCGGACTTCCTTGTGCCGGTTCCCCCCCCGGTAGACCCCCTCCCCCCTCAGGTTCCTGCCCCCTCAGGTGTGTCCCAGGTAGACGCCGTTGACCCGGTCGAGGTTACTGGTGACTCTGGTGCTGCTGCGGGTGCTGAGCCTGGGGGTGCTGACTCTGGGGGTGCTGTGCGCGGGGGTGCTGAGCCTGGGGGTGCTACTGCTGGGGGTGCTGGGCCTGAGGGTGCTACTGCGGAGGGTGCGGAGCCTGGGGGTGCTGAGCCGGGGGGTGCTGTGCCTGGAGGTGCTGGGTCTGGGGGTGCTGGGTCGGGAGCTGCTGAGCGTGGGGGTGCTGAGCTGGGAGCTGCTGAGCCTGGGGGTGCTGAGTCTGGAGCTGCTGAGCCTGGGGTTTCTCCTGCTGCTGCGTCTCGCCGGGAGCCCCTCTCTCCACAGGAGCTGCGCGAGTGGTTCGCTCGCCGCTGGAGGCGTGCTGCTGAGTCTGGAGGTGCTGCTGGAGCTGGAGTTGGAGCTTCTTCGACCGTCGAGGGTGCGGGTGCAGCCGGTCCCGGAGCTGCTGGACCTGCGGGTCCTCCTGGAGCTGGAGCTGCTGAGGGCGTTCGTGCTGATCCTGCTGCTGTTGGTCCTGCCGCTGGAGGTGTGGGTGGCGCTGGTGCTGTCGCTGAGGGTGCTGGTGCTGTCCCTGCTGAGTCTGGAGCTGCCGCGCGGCCTCGGCCGTACTTCGTTCCGCTCCTTCAGCAGGTTCTTGGTCTTTCTCCTCCAGTAGAGGGTCCACCGCCTGTCCAGTCGCTGTCCCTACTAGAGCCTTCCTCTCCACTGCCTGCTCCCTCTCCTTACACTGGTCCTACTGGAGGTCTTGCTGAGCGTCGTGAGCCTGCGTCTCGTCCCGCGTCGCCTGTTCGTGCTGCTCGCGCTAGTGGTCGCAGTTCGCGTCAGCGTCCTCCTCCTGTCCCTGGCACGCACCGGATGTCTCTGCGTCCGTCCACTGCTCCTCTGCGTGCCCCTTTGCCTTCTCCTCCTGAGTCCTCTCTTCCTGCGCTTGCCGACCCTGAGTCGGACTCTCTTCGCGCTGCGAGTCCTACTGTCACGCGTCTGCTTGCTACTGTCGTCACTGACCCCTCTTTTGAGTCCACTGCTGCGTCTGCTCTAGTCGCTGAGCTCGTCGACTTTGCTGCTCGCTGTCGTCTCGACTACGCTGCTAGTCTTGTTGCTGAGTCTGCGTCTGTCTGTCCTCCGTCCGTCGGGGGTGAGTGTGCTCTTGGCACGGACGTCCTAGAGGACAGGCAGGAGGAGTTACAGTGTCTAGCGGCTGCTTCACCTCATCTCGCGTCTGTACTGCTTGCCCCTGAGGGAGACCCGGATGCACTAGACATCCCGACTCCGCGTTCTTACGCGGAGGCCGTAGAGGGCCCCTACTCCTCTCAGTGGCAGGCAGCTATGGATGCAGAGATGGCTTCCTGGAAGTCCACAGGCACCTACGTTGACGCGGTTCCCCCTCCTGGGGCGAACATCGTCAGTGGCATGTGGATCTTCAGGGTGAAGCGGCCGCCGGGCTCTCCACCTGTCTTCAAGGCACGGTACGTTGCTCGTGGCTTCAGTCAGCGGCAGGGAGTTGACTACTTTCAGACCTTCTCTCCCACCCCGAAGATGACTACTCTTTGGGTGCTGCTGCACATAGCCGCTCAGCGTGACTACGAGCTTCACTCTCTCGACTTCAGCACTGCGTTCTTGCAGGGTAGCCTGCACGAGGAGATCTGGCTTCGCCGCCCACCTGGCTTCACTGGGACTTTCCCTCCTGGCACCCAGTGGAGCCTCCGACGGCCAGTCTACGGTCTCCGCCAGGCACCGCGTGAGTGGCACGACACACTGAGGACTACGCTTGCGGCTCTTGGGTTTGCTCCTTCTACTGCTGACCCGTCGCTGTTTCTTCGCACCGACACTTCCCTGCCGCCGTTCTACATCCTCGTGTACGTCGACGACCTGGTCTTTGCCACAGCGGACACTGCTGAACTCGCCTACGTGAAGTTCGAGCTGCTGAAGAGACACACGTGCACAGACCTGGGTGAACTGCGCAGCTACCTTGGCTTGCAGATCACTCGGGACAGAGCACGCCGCACCATTACCTTGACTCAGTCACACATGGTGCAACAGGTCCTTCAGCGCTTCGGCTTCACGTACTCCTCGCCTCAGGCCACTCCTCTGCCTACTCGCCACTCACTCTCAGCTCTGCCTTCGGATGAGTCCGTAGAGTCGAGTGGTCCGTATGCAGAGCTTGTTGGCTGCCTCATGTACCTGATGACCTGCACACGACCTGACCTTGCATACCCTCTGAGCATTCTTGCACGCTATGTTGCTCCTGGGAGACACAGACCGGAGCACATGGCTGCAGCGAAGAGGGTATTGCGCTACCTGTGCAGTACGTCAGGCATGGGGCTAGTGCTTGGAGGGCGGAGTCCAGTGGTCCTTACCGGCCACGCGGACGCTTCTTGGGCTGACGACCAGGCTACGCAGCGGTCGTCACAGGGTTACACCTTCAGCCTTGGTTCCGGCTCTGTCTCGTGGCGGTCTACTCGCTCGTCTTCGGTTCTCGGCTCCAGTTGTGAGGCTGAGATCTACGCCGGGGCCATGGCTGCACAGGAGCTTCGCTGGCTCACCTACCTGCTGACTGACCTTGGAGAGCCGCCTCGTTCTCCTCCAGTGCTGTACGTAGACAACAAGGCTATGCTGGCCTTGTGTCGAGAGCAGCGCTTGGAGCACAGAACGAAGCACATTGCTCTCCGCTACTTCCTTGCTCGTGAGCTGCAGCAGCGTGGTCAGTTGCGACTTGCGTACGTGGCCTCTGAGGCCAACACTGCTGATGTGTTCACCAAGGCACTTGCGCCTTGTGACCATCAGCGCTTCTGCACCCAGCTGGGTCTTGTGCCTGTCTTGCCTCACTTGCTCTCCTCTTGACTTTACTTGTACTGTGACATATATGTATACCTGCTCTTGCTTGTCTAGCTTTATATATATGTCTGTACTCTTGCTTGTGAACTGGCCTTTGGCCTTGCTCTTGTGCTCGGACTGTGTGGTGACTTTGTGATCCACCCTGAGCTTTGCTTTGTCTTGCTTGACTGGTCTTGTGACCCCTTGTTCTCCCCCACTTTGCCTATGGGGGTGTGTCAGAACATATCCATAGCTTATACTGCTGTGTAGGCTGTAGTGGGGTATCCCATAGGGGGTACAACCCAGTTAGGGTTTCATATTTGTACTGCTTTCATTCATAGTCCATTCATCCCTGCTTACTCATTTTCACAAGGGAATCCCTCTACATTCACCCTAACGCTTCAGGGCAAAAATTCACTGCCCTTCTGAAATTTCAGGGCAAAACACAAGGATCATCCTGACGTCACAGGGTAAATTTCAGCATCATTCTGAAATTCCAGGGCAAACTTAAGACACCATCCTGAAATCAGGGTAATCAGGATGTTTTGCCCTGATATCGTGGGCCCTGCATCCTTGCACTCAATGGGAGAATGTTACGGGTGCAATGGATTGCACTAAGTGTCAAACGAGTACAAAATGTGGGCAAAGGCATGAGCGAACATTTATACGCGAAACATGCAAACGGTAATGCGGTGCATGCGAGCTAGCTAGTGCTAGGCAGGCATCAAGGCCCGGGCTAGTCCCGAAGCGTAGGCCGACACGGCCAGGCCAGCGGTGCATGGTTTGGTGGAACAGTGCGCGCGAAGTCGGCGAAGCCCCGTTAGCTGTAACGGGCGAACAACGGCTACTGCTGTACGCGGTGTTGCAGGATGCGCTGAGGAATGTCGAGAAAATTCCTTGCAGAGAAAAAGAAAACACTGAAAACGAATGAATGAAATGACTAGTAGCACCCTAAGTGGGGAATGTACACCCATAGCAAAACACAAGACAAATTAGCCAACATACGGTAACAGTACAAGCTCTTGCATCAACTTTTAAACTTCTCCCATGCCGAAGCCACTCTATCTGAAATCAGCCTGAGATCTACCCCTCTGCAACCTGTGCTCATGTGGAATATCGTCAACTCCCATGCCCTGCTTTGCTGCTCCGCCGCTGCCCCCTTGGAGGCATTGACACCTGCTGAGTTGGTGCCTGAGGCAGGATGCGACTGAGAATAGCCCACTTGGATAAGCCCCTGAGGCAGATACGGTAGCGAGGATGGCATGCACCGTGGAGAGGAGGAAGGGAGAAGAGTGAGAAAGAAGAGATAGGGAGGAAGATGAGCCAACAATTCTGGGGTTGCGAGAGGGCCTTAGGGTGTTCAAAGCCGACTGGAAAGACAGCATGTTATTGAGCAGGACGGGACAAAGCAATAAGAGTGCAGACCCACCCAATCAGGACATGCTGCGAGGAAACAAACACCATCATGGGAGAGAGAACACCATCATGGGAGAGAGAACACCATCATGGGAGAGAGAACACCATCATGGGAGACAGCTGGATGACAAACACGATCACCCCATTGGCTCGAAACAATCAGCTCAGAGTTATCACCTCAGAGCAGTCACCTCAAAGGAAGCAAGGAAGGCTTGCAGGCGCATGAGCGCGGAGCGGAAGGGAGGCGGCAGAGAGGGCGAGCGGGTGATGGCGAGCAGAGCCGCCTCATCCATGTGCAGCAGGCGCGCTATCTCCTGGTGGAGGCCATGGTCAGAATAGCACAGGGGGGAATAGGAAGGGGCAGGGGATGAAGAGAGAATAGAAGAGGGAGCGGGGTAGAGACGGCGAGTGGGTAATAAACAGCAGAGCCGCCTCGTCCATGTGCAGCTGCCGTGCTATCTCCTGGTTGGGGCCGTGGGGTGGGGCGAGGAGGGGGGAGGTGGTGGAGGAAGATGTTCTTTTCTTTTCTTTTCCTTTTTTTTCTTCTCTTTTTTCTTTCATTTTTAGCACCTTGCAAACCAGCAAAGCAAGGGCTTGTCCATGCATGTAGTGTACAGCTCACAATTTGCACTGTGCAATGTACAGCTCACAATATACACTGTGCAGTGTACAGCTCACAATATACACTGTGCAGTGTACAGCTCACAATATACACTGTGCAGTGTACAGCTCACAATGTACAGTGTGCAACGTACAGCCTTACAGCTGGCAAGGACTAGCGTGTGTGGTGTGGGATGTGCTGTGTGCTGAGCTGTGTGCGGTGTAAAGAAAGTCGAGAAAAAAAAGAAACCCAGCTACTTATTGTACACAGCAGAGTTCACAGTCATTGGACTCACAGCAGGGTGCACGGCAGCAGGCATAAGGGAGCAGCCGTCATCGACATACACCACCAGGCGCACCACACCGGGCGTGCGATAGCTGAACTCCTTCACCCCCACCACCACGCACTGAGGGGGGAGGTGAGGGAGGGAGGGAGGGGCACAGGAGGGAGGACGGGGGGTTGAGAGGCGTGTGGTGCACTGTAGTGTGGGCGGAGGTGCCTTGGTTGCAGTTGCTTGCACCCAGCACTTGGTGCATATGGAAAAACAAAGAAGGAACAGGAAGAGATACCAACGAGCAGGAACCACCCAAGGAACCGCGCAACAGATATCTCATTTTCACTCTGAAGGCACAACTACAAGGATCTGTAAGGAATGGCATTGGAATAAAAGGGCCAGGACTTATCCAAGCTCACGATACCCGCATGAAAGAGATAAATCTCATACCTTCACAGTAAGGCGCTTGCCACTCTCCCTCTCAATCCCTCCTCCTCTTGTTTCTGCTCCTGTTCCATCCTCTTCCTCCCCTCCCACAGCAACAACATCCGCCAAGTAACCAAACACTTCCCCTCCTCCTCCTCCTCCTCCCGCTGCTCCTGCCTCGGTTGCAGCTGCCTCTGCTGCTGGTTCTGCTGCTGCTGCTGTCGCTCTTGTGCCCACAGCAATTGTTGCTGCTGACGGTGGTGGTGGTACTGCTGCTGAAAATGCTCCTGGCGATGCTGCTGCTGCTGCTGCTGCTGCCACTGCTGCTGGACCTGCTGGGGAGGGTCGGTTCATCCCCAACACCCCCACAGCTGCATCAGCAGCATCTTCATCGTCTGTCAGATCTACAACCTCCATTCGCTTCACCCCCTCCCCTGCACCACCCACACGCCCACCAGCAACAGCAGACGGAGCAGCAGCAGCAGCAACAGCAGGGGCAGCAGAAGTGGTAGGAGTAGGAGTGGGAGCAGTGGCAGTGGGGGGAGAAGAGCGCGGATGACGGTTCTCCAACACTCCACCATCACCCCAACGCCTCCACACCGCCTCCTCCTCTTCCTCCATCTCCACCTCCTCATGCCCTCCTTCTCTCCTCTCCGCCCGTTGCTCTCCTCTCTCCTCCCTTCTCGCTCGCGCTCCCCCCTGCCTCTCGACCTCTCCATCCCCCTCTCCCTCGTCATCTAGAACTATTCTCCGCCCTCTCACCATCCCTGTCCGCCTCCCTACCCCTACCCTCCTCCTCCCTAATCTACCGCCTACCTCCTCATCCTCATCCTCCTCCATATCTTCCATCCCCTCTCCCCGTCCCCCTTCTCCCTCCTCTTCCCTGTCCTCTCCTCCCTCTCCCCACCCATCTTCCCTAGTATGTCTCCCTGCCTGCCCATTTCCCATGTAACCAAACCCATTCTGCTGTTGCCCAGTCTCCTGCTGCTGATTATGCTGTGGATGTGAGCTCGGCTGACGTGGCAAGGAAGGTGACGTGTCGCGCCAAGATGGCGCCACGTGTGCGCGGGTCGGCTGGTTTGAGCCGGCAGCAGAAGAATTAAGCCCAGCAGGAGACGCAGACGCAACTGCTGCAGCAGATGCAGTGGCAGCAGCGGCGGCGGCAGCAAAAGTGGTTGAAGCAGCTGCTGAAGTGGGATTGAGATTGTGAAATTGACTTTGGTTCGAACCAGGGGCGCCAGCAAATGTTGTACCAGCAGCAGCAGGAGCAGCACCACCAGCAGCACCACCAGCACCACTACCAGCAGCACCACCAGCACCACCAGCAGCACCACCACCAGCACCACCAGCAGCACCACCACCAGAAGCAGCAGCAGCATCAGGAGTAACACCAGGGGCTGCAGCAGAGGCAGCAGGGTGGGGAGGCCAGGCAACCTCTTGTGCTAGCATTAGAGTGGTGGTCTCCAAGGTGGAACGAGCAGAGAGACGACCCCTGGTGAACATGCACGCATGGTGCAGAGAGAGAGAATTGGAAGGAAAGGAAAGGACGATTGTAAAGGTTGTCTTTCTGGTAGATATGTGGATTTAAGAAGCAGTTTACTGGTCTAGTGGTGGTGCCATCTCCGCTCTTCACCAGCCGATTTGAACAGAAAAGCGGAAGTGCGACCATGCTCCCACTGATGCGGCCATGCTTATGTGTGTGTGCATGGATGCCCCATGGGCGCCGTTCTTCACCAAGCGGTTTGACTAGAAAAGCGGAAGTGCGACCATGCTCCCACCCACCACATATACACAGGCACCGATGGGGCATCCATGCACACACATACACACGCAGACAGACATCAAGCGAGCCCGCAAGCAATCAACAATGCAAGGGAAATGCACACGACACAAGCGTGTCAACGCACACACATACACTCACCGTGAGAGTGAGTGGGGGCGAGAGGGGCGAGAGAAGTGGTCCGCAATGCGACACCTGGCAGCCTCCAAGTGTGCCACGTGTCCTCCCAGGACTTGCACGAGTTCAGGCAGCAAGAGCAACAGGCCCCTCCTCACAAGCACGTCTCTTAGAATCACCTGCCTTTATACAACAAGAGAGGGCCAGCCAGAGAGAGAAAGAAGGAAGGAGAGAGAGGATGCAAGAGAGAGAGGGGGAGAGTGAACCAAACAACAGTGTGAGAATGGCCGAGGGAAGGGAGTCGGTATGAGGAGACAATGAGGAAATATAGACGGCGCGAAACCAAACACCTCCCTCCCTCCCTCCCTCCCTCCCCCCCTCACACGGAGCAGAGAGCACAGGAGCGCGCACCTTGCAGCCGGGGGCCATGGAGGGCGAGAGGGCGGGCACGTGGCGGTACTCCATGCCACACACCGCCTGCACACCATCCGTCAGCTGCACCTTCACACACCGCCGACCCTGCCCCCCTCCCTCCCCCGCTCCGCCTCCCCCTCCCCCTCCCCCGCCTCCGCCTCCCCCGCCCCCGCCCCCGGCCCCCCCTCCGCCTCCCCACTGCTGCTCCTCCCCCGTTCCTCCGCCCATTCCCGCTGCTCCACTTCCGTTGCCGTCCCCCATGCCCCGGCCCCGCCCCCTTCCTCCCCCCCTGCCTCCCCCCCTGCCTTCCCCCCCCCGCCCTGCGCCAGCGGCGGAAGGGGAAGGGGGGTAGCGGAACCTGAGGGGCACGGATATGTCGACCACCTCGTCCACCTGGGGGGCCACGAGGGGGGACAGGTGGGACAGGACGGGCAGGGCAGGCAAGGCAGGGAGTCAGGGCCGTCAGAAGTGGGGACTGGAAGGTAGCGGAACCTGAGGGGCACGGATATGTCGACCACCTCGTCCACCTGGGGGGTAAGGGGGGACATGCATGGCGGCGCAAGCGGGGCGGGCAGTCAGGGGAGGGCAGTGCGGGGAGGGCAGTGCGGGGAGGGCAGTGCGGGGAGGGCAGTGCGGGGAGGGCAGTGAGGGGAGGGCAGTCAGATGTGGGGAGTGGAAGGTAAGGTGATGGGCAAGGCTGTGTGGAACCTAGCACCTCGTCAACCTGGCGGCAACAAAGGGGAAACACGCATGGCCCGGCAGTCAGGTGCGGGAAGAATCACGGGCAGACAGTCAGGGAAATCAGATGCGTGTTTTTAATCTCAAAACCAACTGCGGACGCGACTATAATCTAAATCCCCGAGCTCTCAGTCACCCGTTCCCACTTCCCCCCGCTCCGACCCCACCTGAAGAAGGAAGCTTCCTCGCAGCGTCTGGTCGTGCATGGCGTGCACGTTAGCGGGCAAGCAGCCGCTATTGGACGACACGGCTCTTAGATCCGTTAGTAGCAGTAACGCCATGCATCGGGTTACCACTTCTCGCCACGCCTCCCGCTCCCCCTCCAGTCTCCCCCCGCCGTCGCGCGCTGATCCTCCTACTCTTCCTCTCTCAACGAGTAGATCAATCGACGGGTCTGTCGCGACTATGTGTCGAAGCGCGCCTTCCACCCACGTGGCGCTCGGGAACGCCCCCAGATCGTTCAATTGGGACACGACACGTGGCACAGCAGCCGCCACTGCGTCGGCCATCGAGAGTGGACGGGACGGATCGTGACCGATTCAGCAACCGATTAATCGTTGTCAATAAGCTCTCGCCCTGTTGATATTTTTGAAAATTAGCGAGCCCTTCCGTTCGTGAATTACGCAAGTGATCAGTTCGATTACACGTTCATAAGAAAGGACACTGCCATTATAGATGGGGTTTGATTATGCATATTTTGACAAGTGTAAATAGAAAATAATATGAAGAAATTACATTTTATTGCCTCAATACTCAATCTATACAATGTCTCCATACGGTATTTAGCACAAACCCCTTAAAAAAAAGCCAGACAAAAACAAGAGCCTGTTATTTCCTCGGGTAGATGGCAATTGCACCAGTCCTCAGAGTATAACTTACAGCCCATCTCATCTATTTCGACCCAGCAGGAGATACAGTATACCAAACAGCCGATAGGGTGTTTCACCTCTCTATGGGTCTCAAACAGGTGAGGTATGAAGCATGTGCAGTGCAACTAGCAGTTGCAGTGGTGTGGTGGGGGATGTGGTGTGTGGTTGACATGACCGATAGAGGAAATGGAATTGAAGTGAAGGAGGATGGGCTGTGCTGTGTCAGTGCGTCCTCTGTACCGTATGTTTCGACCCAGGACTGGCACAAGCAGCGGCAGGGCAGCAGTGGAGGGGGGGGAATAGCCATGAGGATTGGCCATGCATATTAGGGTGTGAACGTGAGAGCACTAAGAGCAATGAAGCAAGGGCAGCAGTGGGAACTAGAAGGGTTGCGGAATGGCAGCGGCAGCAGCAGCAGTAGGCAAGCAGCGGGCGAGCAGTGAGGGACATGGAATGGGTGGAGAGGGAGTGGGCGGAGTGGGTGGTGCGGGTCAGTCAGTGGGGTGCGGCCAGTTGGAGACGGGCACATCAGTGAGCGGGACAAAGTCTGCTGCACCCCCGTATTCCGATGGCAGCACGTGTGGGGGGATGACACTCAGCAGAGTCCTTGTGAGATGCCGGTCCTCCACAAAAGAGATCTGTCGGGACGGGGGGTGGGGAGGGGTGCGTGGCAACTTGTGAGGTGGTTGACAGGAGCGTGCCAGGGAATGCCGATTAGTAGCATCCTTGTGAGATGCCGGTCTTCCACCAACGAGATCTGTCGGGACGGGGGGTGGGGGGAGGCGTGGGGAGGGCGAGCGGCGGGGGGGGAGGGTTGTAGCGGAAAAAAAGGGGAGTGTGTGAGTGAGATTCCACACAAGCCAGGCTCGTGCAAGAGGGAGCATTTTTTAGGCGCCTCAAAAAGAGATTCCACACAAGCCAGGCTCGTGCAAGAGGGAGCAGAGGTAGTGTGAGGGGCAGAGAGGAAGTGGGAGGAGGCGCACGCACCTTCTTCTTGGTGTAGGGGTCGACGAAGGGGCAGACAGACGATCTTCCACACACACGCCCGGCCCAGACGACTTTTGAGACGTCTCAGAAACATGAGGGGCAGTGCAGAGGCAGGCAGAGGGCAGCGAGCAGAGGGCAGAGGGTAGGGGGCAGTGGGCGCAACACAATACAACACAACGCAACGCAATGCAGCGCACCTTCTTCTTGGTGTAGGGGTCGATGAAGGGGCAGACGATCTTCCACACGCCCCAGAAGATGGAGGGCACGTGGATGAAGAAGAGTTTCGCCAGGCGCTCAGGGAACTGGTTCTGCAGGGATGCACGCATGGGGGAAGAGGGGAGGGGGGGGGAGAGGAGAATAGGTGCACAGCGGAGAGAAGTTTGGGGCGACTTAAAGGCCCACCTGCCCCAGCAGATGATGGAGGGCACGTGGATGAAGAATAGCTTCGCCAGGCGCTCAGGGAACTGGTGTTGCAGGGATGTAGTGTAACAGGTGCCCGGGGGGGAATGGGTGCGGTGTGGACGCGGAGCAATTGGGGGCGAGGAGCGGAGGGGTGAGGGGCAAATGGGCGAGGGGCAGGGGGGGGGGGGGGGAGCGAGGATCGGAGGGGCGAGTGGCAAATGGGCGAGGGGGAGGGTGAGCGAGGAGCAGGGGAGTGCGGTTAGGGAAGAATGATAGGATGTGGGCATGCATGGGGGTGACGGTGGGGGGAGAAGCAAGGGGAAACGATGGGGACAAGGGGGGAAAAGGAAGTGAGGGGATTGAAGATACAAAACCAAAAGACTATGTGCTGGTAGAGAGGAGATGGATATGTGGTGTGGTGTGGTGTGGTGTGGTGTGGTGTGCAGACCTGCAGCAGGATGAGCGAGGCGATGCCTCCTCTGGAGTCGAGGTTCTTGTATGCAACGCCCTGCAGATCGAATATCACGCCAAACTTGTGCAGGTCGGGGGGCAGGCTGGTGGAGAGGAGAGGGTACAGGGGCAGTATGTATGGGGGCAGGGGGTAGGGGGTAGGGGTGTAGAGGGTATGTGAGGGAAAGGGAAGGGGTGGCAAGTAGGTAGGTGACGCGAATGTGCGAGATGCCCTTTACGCACACAGCACGGCCTGTACGTGGAGTATCAGCCCGACCTTGTGCAGGTCGGGTGGGGGCTGTGGGACGAAGGGGTAGGGTAGGGATGGGCATGGCATGGTGGGGAGAGGTGGGAACAGGTTGGGTGGAGTAAATGAATGATGCGCGCGCGGTGTGCAACCAGGAAGATGCATGGGATGGATGGATGGATGGATGGATGGATGGATGGATGGATGGATGGATGGATGGATGGATGGATGGATGGATGGATGGATGGATGGATGGATGGATGGATGGATGGATGGATGGATGGATGGATGGATGGATGGATGGATGGATGGATGGATGGATGGATGGATGGACGGACGGACGGACGGACGGATGGATGGATGGATGGATGGATAGATAGACTATGCGCGGTGTTGCGTAGCTTGTCTGCACTGCAATGCCTGCTGCCAGGTGGGTGGCAAGGCAGGGGGCAAATGACAACTACAATGGAGAAAAACGCCTACCTGTCCGCCCACCTGCGCTTTTCTGTATTATTATTACCTGGCGATTGCTTTATCCATGGTGTATACGACCGACTCTGGAACCACGGAGACGCGGAGGGGAGGGGTGGGGGAAAAGTGAAGCGGGAGGGAAGGGGAGGGAGGGGGGGCGGAAGCAGAATGGGGAGGAGGAGAAGGGATGTAAGCTTCAGTTGAGATGTTGTTCGCGCAGGGTGGGGAGAGGAGAGCGAAGGAGGGGAGGAAAGAAAGAGGGGAGGCGCGGAGGAAGAGGGAAGAGGGGAGTGGGTTGGGAAGGGGGAGAGAGGGAGGGAAAAGAGGAAGGTGGAAAAAAAGGAGAGGGAAGGAGGGGAGTGTGGAACTGTGACAACGACAAAAGGCGGAGGTGGGTGGGGGTGGGAGGGGGGAGGGATGGGGAGCAGGCTATTAAAAGGGAAGCAATGAAAGAGGGGAGTAAGGCTATAAAGCGTGACGACGGATCATGGGCGGGGGTTCTTAGAAAAATCTCGCCTTTCCTATGGCTCACGCACTCCCCATCCCATCCTCCTCCCCCCTTTCCCTTACCCTCCACCACGATATCTATCACCCTGCCATTCCATAACAACTCTTCCTCGCTTTCCATTTCCGAGACGTATCAAAATTTGTCTTTCTCGCTTCTTCTCCCCTCACTTCAACCCCGCCATCCCCCCCGCACCTCCGCCCCCATTTTCCCGCCAGCGGAAAACCTAAATTGCGTCTTCCGTCCATGGCTTTCCTTTCCCAAGCGCGTGCGCCCATCCCCGCTCCCCGATCATCCCCCCTTTCCCCGATTCCACCCGCAAATATCAAACCACCACTCCCTTCCCCCCTTCCCTCCCTCTCCCCAAAAAATCCTCTTCCCCCCACCCCCCTCCCCCACAACTCCTCCCCCCACGTCTCCCCTTTCCCCCCCACCCTCTCTCCCCCTCCCTCCGTCCGCTCCGCACGCACTGAGAAGCGCGTCCAGTTTCCGCTGGTACGCGTCGTGGAAGCGCAGGCGGCAGATCACCCACGAGCGCTCGCCGTCCACGCACTGCAGCGACACGGGCGCCATGAGCGCGGGCGCGAACTGCGGCTCGGGGTCGCCCGCGCGCGCGGGGTAGAAGCCCGGCGGAATGAAGGAGGCGCGCCACTTGCGGTGCTCTGCGTACATGGCGGACGCGCGATCGATGTTGAAGCTGCGGGCCACCAGGAAGCGCAGGAGAGTGAGCTCTGACACGCCCTGCCGGACGGGGGAGCGGGAGTGGAGGAGAAAGGGGGGAGAAAGGGGGGAAGGGAAGGGAGGGATGGGGAGGGGGGCGCAGGGGGAGGGAGTGGGGAATGGAGGTGGTGCGGGCAGGGGGGCGGGGGAGTGGGCGGCACAAGGAGGGAGAGAGGAAGGAAAGGGCAGCGGACGGGGGGAAAGAGGGGGGAAGGAACCGGGAGAGAGCGGGGGTTGGGTAGGAAGGGTGGATGAGAACAAGAGCGTAACAGGGGCGATAGTAGGGACGTCGAAACGGTGTGAGAAGAGAACCAAGAGCCATGAAGAGGGTAGACAGGCGAGGGGGATGCAGGGAGTGGGGGTGGGGGTGGAGCGGGGGGGGGTGTGGAAGAGCGGGGGCGGGGGGGAGGTGGGGGGAAGGGGAGCGGGGGAAGGCACGGATGTGGGGGACGACGCGACAGACACGCAGCCTGACGGTCAGCAGCGGGCGGCTGCTGCGGCTTGCACGTCCCCGCACGGGCGCTCCAGGCGCAAGGCGGAATCCAACTTCTCCGCGCGGCCAAGGCGCACGCGTGAGCGGAGCACAAGGGTCCTCACGGCCAAAAGAAGCGTCTGATCCACTTTCAAAAGAGCAGGTGTCTAGCAAGAAAGGAGGATCGAGGTCCACGGTAATTTCTTAACCAGGTCTACCTCTAGCGAGATTCCCGCGGCTGTTATCGCGGCGCGCATCTTCTCCATGTCCGCTTCGTGCCCCTCCACTGACAATTGATCGCCCGCTTCGTCTAGCGATCTGTGCGACCGCAACGACCCGCCCGATCCCGACGTCGTCGATCGCGAGATCTGCGACGGCGACGACTC